TTCCGATATAGTGCATTCCAATTTGAACCACCACCGTGTAATTCCACTGATAAAAAGCAAAAGCTTGATGGATACATTGGAACGTTCAAACACTACAATATAATTCAACATATAAAATTGACCTTGTCCAAAATTGAATTCATTTCTGCTTGACCTGACTGACATTTTAAAAACATTTCATTTTATGTAAACAACTGATAACAGCTTCATTATTCTCTATGTGCATGAACTTAATGTCAGGATTTTTATTCAGGTAAAGGTCTTGTAGCTGGTCATAGAGGTCTTCCACATCTGCATCATCAAAGTTTGATGTTGGGGTGTATGCCTGTATGATGGTGATGTTGAATGGGATTGCCATGAGGCAGATGGGGATGAGCCGGCTGGAGACTGGCAGACAGACCATGACCGTATTCACCGTGTCCATGTGGACAAGGAACCAACCTCCTTTTCATGTTTGTCCTCTCTGCCACTGAAGTACAATTTGTGGCCTTCCAAAGTAGTTGTTTCTCAAATGTTCTTCCATCGTACCTCGCAGAATTTAGGATATTCCAGCGGTATCTGTCCATTTCATATGTAACCTCCTCTAGCTTTCCTGCTGCTCTCAGTGTTCTCACATTCCAGGTGCGAATGGAGATGTTGTTCCTACAACGAATCTTGCTGCTCTGAGCACCAGTCGCTTACTTTCCACCTCCGCTTTGGTGTATGACGGAAGGCTCAGCCCTTGTTGATCCGGGCGATGAGAGAGCCAGTATGGGACGAGTATTCAGTGTCATTTTTCATATGGTGTGTCCAGGGCAGCTGACGCCTGACGGAGTCCATACCTCTCCAGGCCTCCAATTAGGTCGCTCGCCTTGGTCACGAACATGAAGCCTCTGAGCTGTTGGCAGCCCTTTCGCTTGGCCGTTGACTTCGTCTCAAAAGTTATTCCACCTAGTGATGCCATGTTAACATCACACTATTTATCGATATCTGGAAGACTCGTGGTGGAAGGGATCGTCTACATTTCTGTTCAAGCCTGGTGGACTTGTCCACTGCCCACAATAATAATAATAATGACGATGATTTACGAGAAGTATATTCAAAAGGTCAACGTAAAAATATTAAATTGTCATAAAATTTCGCATATATATATATATATATATATATATATATATATATATATATATATATATATATATATATATATATATATATATATATATATATATATATTTATGTAAAAGAAACCAATTATAACTGTTTTTACCCACCCGCTTCCACAAAAACTACATGGTATCTATGAGAATGATGACAAATTTATAGCTATTTTTGGGCATGCCGATTAATTATTTGTGGAGTTGCATTCTATGCATCCTAGTATTGTGCTCAAATGTATAACAAGCAAAACGATACATTTCTAACAATGGACAATGTAACGCAATCGGAATTGCCTGTGCGATAGGCACCTATATAAAATGGCATAGGCTATTTCACCTATGTAAAAATGGCCGAGGCTAAACACCCCCTGCATTTCAGACTTAATGCAGACAGTCAATCATTACATATTTATTGATTTAATCAGGTTAACATACACTAAACTCACTTTAATGGTGTTGCCATTTCATGTACATCACTGCTTTGACTGAGTATATTAACTAGCACATAATTCAAGCAAGTTTGTTCCCAAAAAACATACAATGTTTTGTTGTGAATGTTCACTACAGGCTGGGTATATACAGTGGATGTCACTACAGGCTGGGTATATACAGTGCACGTCTTGATTTAGTATTTAGAATCAAACGTTCCCAAAGAACCAATAGGGAGAGGGGCGGGGACTGGGATTTACTTTCCAGATGGAATATTGTTTTCTTCAATCTTAAGATAATGTTTTCAACTATTGGATACAATGGGAGTGTTTGTGTCTTCTTTGTGACTATAAACCGGAGCAAGAACATTGTTTCAAACAATGTGAGCCGAAAACATTTTCGAGAAAAATAAGGTCGTCCCACCTTCCTTCCGAAAATTAAATGGACGGTCCCAAGTGTACAGCGAAGCCTATGTTAGCTAATACATCCATCTAAAGTTCGGAGTTACACGGCCCTTTATCTCGTTTTATCCATACTTCTACATAGTAGGATGTGGCTTTAAAAATCACATGTCCAAGTTACGCCCTGTGGGAAATTTCCCGTGCCTGATCTAAGGGATACTAAGAACACATCCAGGAATATCGGTGGGTGGTGGTGGATGGGGCATGAGTGAACGTAGAACAAGTAGGCAAGTGGCAGTGACGTAGCGAGGATAGTTAGAGCCTGGGACAAAACATAATCTTGGCGCCCTCTTCGAGTGCATATGAGATAACCCTATATTAAAATCAGATGCCATTTATAAATTTTAAGTACTACTACAAGAATTAATCATTAAACAACACAAGAATGGAATGGTAAAATTTACCTATAAAACTTCAGTTGTATTTTTCTCATTTTGGCGCCCCTGATACATGGCGCCCGGGGGACAACTGTCCCCTACCCTCCCAAGTTACGTCACTGGCAAGTGGCCTGTGGTATGGAATTCCTAGTGGGGGCCCAGGACATAACAAGCATTTTTCAGGTATACTAAAGCTATGTATGTACGAACCGAAAGGGAGGAGGGCGAGTGGCCGAGTGGTCTAAAGCGCTATCCGTTACGGATCATTGACATCTCACCTCTGCGTGGGTTCGAGTCTAGGGTTCGGGGAATGTGGAGATGTAGGAAAGCTTGCCAGTGGCTTTTCGTGGGTCGGTGGTTCTTTCCAGTGATTTCCCGGTTTCTTTCTCTACAATTAATGCTGGCCGCCATGTATCGCCTATCGTTGGTGAAAAATGGCGTTAAGCCCCGCAACAAGAACAGCAACGAACCGAAGGGGAACTGTCCACCAAGAACAAACTTGTATGGCTCAATTGATTGTTCTTTCATTGCATCATGGCACCTGTCCACAGAGAACAAAAGGTAATGTCCCCTTGAATACTCTTCAAAAACAGGGCTATAAACCTCCACTTTATTATGTTTCCCTTCGTTAGGAATAGAAATATCTCTGAAGAGTAACATTCGACATGCCAACAAAAGATAACAATTAGCTCTACAACTAAAAATGATACAATATTTATCACTGCTAATAGATACATAAGTATATCCAGCATGTATGCATACATATGCATAGATCGATGGAGAAGCCCGCCCCCGTTTGACAGTTTTAGAGAGTGGGACTCGTCATCCACGGCTTGCGGGTTAGGTTAGATACCCGCCCAGACCCTCCCGGGTCGGCTGCTTAGGCTTGTCTTTGAGAAATGCTCGTAGTTCCCATTTTCTCTGTATTATAGTAATGAACCTATAATGTTTTATGCACCGATAATGTGTTATACACCGATAATGTGTTATACACCGATAATGTGTTATGCACCGATAATGTGTTATGCACCGATAATGTGTTATACACCGATAATGTGTTATGCACCGATAATGTGTTATGCACCGATAATGTGTTATACACCGATAATGTGTTATACACCGATAATGTGTTATACACCGATAATGTGTTATGCACCGATAATGTGTTATGCACCGATAATGTGTTATACACCGATAATGTGTTATACACCGATAATGTGTTATGCACCGATAATGTGTTATACACCGATAATGTGTTATGCACCGATAATGTGTTATACACCGATAATGTGTTATGCACCGATAATGTATGAAAATTGTCGTTAAAACTAACAAAGATAAAGCAAAACGTCAACAGACTTTTATACAGTTATTATTCCAAATTGGTACGGGGAAACAACAAAAACTTAAATTCGATCGCCTTCCTAACGCCGTTACACGGAATGTAATAAAAATGTGAGACACAGATTTGTTTTGCTTTTATATTTACATACAGAAATGTACCCTTTAAATTTGGTGAACAAAGCGTCATACTGTAGGTCCGTATAAATATACCACCTATCTACCAACAGCAGAAAGGATCAACACCTACATGTTGTGCACTTAACAACCAAAATACTTTGTAGACAAAATAAAAGTGAATTTGTTCTGTTTTGTTTCTATATCTAAACGGGACTGGCGACTGTAATCATCCTGGTCGAGTTTGATTATAACTTCAACTCAAGATTTACTAATTTGAAAGTCTGGCAGGTAATGAAGTGCAGTGCAGTTAAAATGTCATAGCACGATATACAAAATATTTTAGAGTTTTGCGATTTGTTAAAACTTCGAAGTAGTGTATACTAAATATTTCCTGTCTTGAGTTTAAACAAGGACATAACAAGGGTGCTAACAATTTATGGTCTTGCGTTTACACCCAGACATAACAAGACAAAAAGGGCGCTTACAATTTTGGTCTTGTGTTTAAACTAAGATTTAGGTCAAAAGGGCGCTAACAATTTGTGGAAATGCATTTAAACCAAAATATAACAATTCAAAATGACGTTTACAATTTGTGGCCTACCATTTAAACCAGGGCACTAACAATTTGTGGTCTAGAATTTAAACTAAGATATAAAAAGTGAAAAATGGGCTAACAATTTGTGGTCTAGAATTCAAATCAGGACATAAAAAAGCTAAAAAGTGCGCTAACAATTTGTGGTTATTCATTTAAACCAGGACATACAACGTTAAAAAGGGGCTAACAATTTGTGGTTATTCATTTAAACAAGGACACACAAAGTTAAAAAGGGGCTAACAATTTGTGGTTATTCATTTAAACCAGGACATACAAAGTTAAAAAGGGGCTAACAATTTGTGGTCATTTATTTAAACCAGGACATACAAAGTTAATAAGGGGCTAACAATTTGTGGTTATTCATTTAAACAAGGACATACAAAGTTAAAAAGGGGCTAACAATTTGTGGTTATTCATTTAAACAAGGACATACAAAGTTAAAAAGGGGCTAACAATTTGTGGTTCTTCATTTAAACCAGGACATAAAACGTCAAAAGGGTGATAACAATTTATGCTTAAACAAATACTAGTACTAGTGGACCGCTCCGGTGACCTAATGGTTAGAGCGTACGCCTTGGATGCCTAAGGTCATGGGTTCGATCCCCGGCCGAGTAATACCAAAGACTTTTAAAAATGGTACTAACAGCTATCTTTCTCGCCAACAAATGATCACTATCTCTAGATATTTGAGTGCAGTCTCAAAAGGCACTAAACCACGAATCGCTTTTTAACACGGGGAGAAGTTAGATATTTGTACCTTGAGTGCAGTCTCAAAAGGCACTAAACCACGAATCGCTTTTTAACACGGGGAGAAGTTAGATATTTGTACCTTAAGTGCACTCTCTAATTGGACTAAACCACAAATCACTTTTTAACACGGGGAGAAGTTAGATATTTGTACCTTGAGTGCAGTCTCAAAAGGTACTAAACCACGAATTACTTTTTAACACGGAGAGATGTTAGATATTTGTACCTCGAGTGCAGTCTCAAAAGGCACTAAACCACGAATCGCTTTTTAACACGGGGAGAAGTTAGATATTTGTAACTTAAATGCAGTCTCAAAATGAACTAAACCACGAATCACTTTTTAACACGGAGAGAAGTCAGATATTTGTACCTTGAGTGCAGTCTCAAAAGGCACTAAACCACGAATCGCTTTTTAACACGGGGAGAAGTTAGATATTTGTACCTTAAGTGCAGTCTCAAAATGGACTAGACCACGAATATTTTTTTAACACGGGGAGAAGTCATATATTTGTACCTTGAATGCAGTCTCAAAATGCACTAAACCACGAATCGCTTTTTAACACGGGGAGAAGTTAGATATTTGTACCTCGAGTAAAGTCTCAAAAGGTACTAAACCACGAATCACTTTTTAACACGGGAAGAAGTTAGATATTTGTACTTCGAGTACAGTCTCAAAAGGCACTAAACCACGAATCGCTTTTTAACACGGGGAGAAGTTAGATATTTGTACCTTAAGTGCATTCTCAAAAGGCACTAAACCACGAATCACTTTTTAACACGGGGAGAAGTCAGATATTTGTACCTCGAGCACAGTCTCAAAAGACACTGAACCAGGAATCGCTGTTGTGCCTGCATAAATCGGAATTTGCAGTGACGGAATTAGAAGGGTTCCTATTCCTTATTTGCTGTTATTATAAAGGAAACATACAAAAATAAACTTTGCACGCAACAAAATCCTCTCATTTTCAAATCTACTTCAGTAAAGAAATTTCAGAATGTATTTTAATCTATCAGAGTTCATACTTATGATAATGTTGAACCCATTCATTTGCTGAAAGATCAGATTGTTAAGAAATCTGCTTTTTGTAGCATTAAATATAAAGCGACTTGAAATTGAATAGGTCTTGTGTCAAAACTAATTATTGTACGTGTTGGGACATCACTGATGGCTTCTCTGAGCATTTGCAATACTAAATATTAAAAGTTATTTTCATGGATTTTGCTTGAACATCAATTTTTGTTGTGACTACTGTCCCGAAATAAACAATACTCAATAAATTATAAATTTATTGTACGTTTTGTTCAGCATTTACAAAAAGTGTAAACTGGAAGTTTATTTTAGTGTCAGACTAACAATGAACATACTCCAGTGTACCCTAGAGAAAAGATGAAAATCAGTTCGAAGACTTATTCTACATGTAGAATTTACTTTAATGTTTTGTGTATTCTTGTTCAGTGTATTCATTCGTTCCTGAAATGAAATTCGACAGAAGTTACATATGTGACATATATTTAAGTTCCATTGCGTGCTTGGCTTTTTGTTATGTCCTACTTGATTTGTGCCATGTTTGTAAGTTATAAATAAGTTGTTTATTGGTATTTAGTTCAAGGTCTAGCCATATTTACACCCCTTGGATGTTCTGGAAGAGAACTTAAAGCCCGCATACTGGTCATTTTATTGTGTCGAGTTTTATATAAAGGTTGTGGTAAACAAAACTATTCATTCCCGTGTTAAATTCGGTTTGTGGAATAATTTACTTTTGTGATCAGATATAATTCCAGTGCGATAATTTACTTAAATTATTCATTGTCATTGCAAGTGTTTATTGACTTTATGGATTAAATCTTTTTTTTGGAATTATTGTGAAATCTGGATTATATTATGCCAGTAACTACGCCAGAGGTCATTTTACGGTTGGTAAAGAATTCATCGACCATGAATTGGACAGGATCTGAAAGCTGGCCGACCAATGTCCAGGTCTTCGTTCTTCATCTTCCACAGCGTAGCGAAGGACCAAGTATTAACGACAGCAAGAAATCCAGACATTTGTCGATTTACTGTCCACCCCAATTTTCTAGTGCCATCCTTGAACCCAACAATTCCATTTTGACGACACACGCTACCATTGACCAATATAAACGCGACTTCTTGGTCGACAGCGAAGCTTCTACGACATCTGTAGACGTAACCTTCACATCGTACGTTCAATATACACTAAACTCACTGTCTCACTTCGCCTCAAAGGTGCCATCAATGTGGAGTTTACCGAGTTCCCGCCCAATTTGTTGCCCTGTCCACGCATCCACTCTTCTCTGACCACATACGCATCAGCCACCTCTGGGACAAGGCCTATTAGGAACAAATACCTGTTGCTAATATTACGAATGCATGTGTTGAGCCAGCCAGTCAGATGAGGTAATGAGATCCACGTCACGGCAAGTACATGGCCTGCTGCATGTTGTACAGAGGGGACTTGGTGTCAAAGATGTTTATGCCGCCATTGCCATCATCAAGACCAAGAGGACAATCCAATTCGTAGACTGGTATCCAATCATCTTCAAGGTCAGTATCAACAACCAGCCATCCACAATGCCCCCCCCCCCCCCGGGAGACGACGTAGCTGAGGTACACCGTGCTGTTTGCATATTCAGGAACAACACGTCCGATCCTGAGGCCTGGGTCTGACTTTGCACGCCAAGAGAGCATTCATCCACTGGCATGTTGGTGGGGGTATGGAGGAGGGAAAGTTATCTGGGGCTCATGAGTATTGGACAGGTCTGGAAAAGGACTAGGATGGTGTTGGCATTAACAGTGTGGAATCAGAGGGAGATAAAAAAGATTATTAAAGTATCACCACGAAAGGTGAACAAAAATAAGACAATAAATTCAGTCGAAATATAAAGGGAAGCAAGAAAAGTATTGCTATGGGAAATAATTCATAATACAAATTTAACTTCAATCTTAAAAGTATTATAGTGTGATTTGTGCGGGTAGTTTTTGTTGTTGTTGTTGTTGTTGTTGTTGTCTGGTTTCTGTTTTGCTTTTTTTTTGGGGTCTTTGTTTATTTATTTGTTACTTTTTATATAAAATGGATACAAAAATCGAGAATATATTTCTTTAGTGTTCTCTTTTAGGAACCAGAGTTATGCTTGTTTCTAGATAATATTTTGTTCCCTTCTAAGATATTTGGTCTTTCAAAAGTAAAGAATATCCCGCTTTCATCAACTTCTTCACTTTGAGCAAAACTTTCAATCAAGCTTTACATATTTATTATTTGTAAACTAACATAATTCGTGTTCAAACAAGCTGATGATTCCAGGAGTAAGACAGGGGAATTTACACAGAATCAGACTTTAAAGAAATGTAATATAGCAGCACAATTTTTGAGTTCATTTTCGCAGGCTATCGACCGCTACGCTTCTATTTCTTTCACAGCAAGATAATCTCCTCGTGTTTTTTATTAATATGCATCAATAAAAACTACGAGATCAAGAATGTGTCAATCAATGTGTTTTTTTTATTGATCAATAAAAACTACATCAAGAATGTGTCAATGAAAGTGCCCTTTTTATTGATCAATAAAAACTACGAGATCAAGAATGCGTCAATGAAAGTGCCCTTTTCAGCTAATTTTTACAGTGGTTTTCGACATTTTTTTTTACATAAGTATTTACTAAAAAAAACCCGAAAAATTTTATGAAAGCAGGGCCATGTCAGCAGTAAGGGCGGGTTCACCAGGTGTATCCGTAAAATTAGGGTAGCCCCCACCAGGACCGTTTTATTTTAAATCTTTTTCACGAGCGTGTGACGGTGCTATAATACACCAACTCCAAGTTTTCTTTAAAGACAATAACATGTCTTTTTCATCCTTGTAATCACGGTCGGGGCTACACATTTGTTTCACATTAATAATTCTCTGATATCCTGTTTTGTCTTTAACTCATCTGATAGCACTGTTTGTACCGCATGAGTGGCCAGCAGGATTTGTTAAAACTGTCGAGGATACAAATTTGTTTCACAATAATACCTTCCCAGAGATACTGTTTTGCAGATGATTCGTCTGATAGCACGGTTGAACGGGATGAGTGGACAACAAGATTTGTAATCACAGTGGTGGCTATATTACAAATATTTCACGTTAATGCCTTCTCCGATAAACCCTTTTGTCTTTGATTTTTCTGATATCAGTGTTGTACCGGGTAATTGGTCTGGTAGCTTGTCTGAGGCATATGCAGTCTCCGTATTAGGACCACATTTACGACTTGCCTAAACCAATTGATAACTTTAATTATTGGTAGTCAAAACAGAGATAGACAACAGTAAATTTTATTTAGAGCCGGTGTTTCACTACCTCCTAAAACATTAGTTATTAGACCTGTTTTATAGGCTGTAAACAATATAAAAATTAACTCAACCATCATACATACAATCACATATTTTTTTCTTATGCCTGATTATAAAATGATGTTACTGTGCTAAACTGCATGGTATTCCCCCATTTATAATTAATATTTTAATATTCAGTCAGAGTGGTAAATCATTTTATATTAATAGATTTTACTCCCTACAAATGAATGCAGGGCTAGAATACACATTCCTAATGACTGGCCTGTACACACTGTAAGCTATTCCCTCCTCTACCAGTCCGCCCACATTAATAATTTCTCTCTAAATATCATTGTTAAGATACCAACATACCGATTTTAAATATACAAGACTATACAAAAACATGCAGAAAGCACACATATACGATAAGTGTTTAATGCATAGGATGTATATAATTAAGTGTGGCACAGAAATTTATACTAATACACTTGTATAACGTTCTCCTCAGATATATGAATTACGTGACTTGGATTTACAATCA